AGTTCAATACATTTCTAGATTGATTTCCTTATTCACTTAGCTTTGGGGGCGGTAAAGTGAACATTTAGCCTCATAGGGTTTTTTGTTTTGTTTTGTTAGATTTTTATTTATTTTTATTGGAAAGGTAGATTTACTGGAAGATGAAGAGAAAGATTTTCCTTCCACTGGTTCACTCCCCAAGTGGCTGTAATGACTAGAGCCAGGAGCTTCTTTCAGGTCTCCCACATAGATACCATATTTCAAGGCTTTGGGTCATCCTCCATTGCTTTCCCAGACCATAAGCAGGAAGCTGGATGGGACATGGAATAGCCAGGATGCAAACTGGTGCCCAAAATGATCCTGAGGTTTGAAGGAGAAAGATTAACCAATTAAGCCATCACACTGGGCCCATATTTTGTTTTGTGTTAAGATTTATTTATTTTTATCTGAAAGACAGATTTTACAGAGGAGAGACTGAGAGAAGGTCTTCTATCCACTGCTTCACTGCCCAAATGGTCATAATGGCCGGAGTATAGCTGAGCTGAATCTTGGAACCACGAGCTTCCCCAACATGGGTGCAGGGTCTCAAGGATTTAGGCATTTTCTGCTACCTTCATGGACCATAAGCAGAGAGATGGATCAAAAGTGGAAAAGCTGGTACACAAGGAGGACTGACTCATCCAGGTCACACCAAGAGTGGCCAGTGGGCCTTTGGTGCAGTAGTTAAAATGCCTCTTTGCACACCTGTATCTCATGCTAGTTTGCCTAAATTGGAGTCCTGGCTCTGCTTCCAATTCCAGCTTTCTGTTAGCGGACATTCTGGGAGACAGCAGATCGCTCAAGTAGAAGACCTGGATTGACTTGGCTCCTGACTTCCACCTGGCTGTTGAGGAGGCATTTGAGGAGTTAACCAGCACATGGGAGATATTTCTTTCTTTCTTTCTCTCTCTCTCTCTCCCACTCCCATCTTCTCTATCTTCCCACCTCTGAACTCCTTTTCAAATAAGTTCAATAAATAAATATTATGGGAAAAAAAGAGTGAGAGACGAAGGCAGATATCAAAGTGCCCCTCCTGGGTACCTGCTCATTGCTCTTACCAGCCAGCCCTGGCCATCTCTGCTAAGGTTGCCAACACACAATCTGTGTGCCCTAAGATGTTTACAAGTTTTTGTTTAAATTGTCTATACATTAAAGGAAAAAATTTCAAATAGCTTAGAAACTTTCTGAGATATTAATTCTGTTTCCATGATTCTGAAAAACACAAATTGGGATGTCTCAGGCAGTGTCAGAAATATGTAAAAGGATTAAAACAGATCTCAATCTAACTGTTAAAAATTAAAATGTACTACAGCAAGTGTCTTCAAAAAGCAGTGCCTTATGACTTGATCTTAACAAAATATGAAAAATGTAAGCTGATTAGACTTACTTTAATGACTATTTACCTGCAGTTTGTCTCAAATGCAGGTGTAATCTAGATTCATTATCTTGCCCTGTCTAGAAACTTGAGTGCTGAGCATAGGTCTGGCCAACTGGGAGAAAAGGAATTAGGAAGGAAGCTCTTGTGCCAGGAAACCCAATTCTGTGTATCCATAGATCCAAGTAGTTGCTGACTCAGATGGAACAGAGGGTAGACTGTAGCTAAGCCCAAAAATGAGACAGAGAGGCAGGCAGTACTTGCTTCTGCCTTGGCGTTTCCAAGCAAACCACGTTGCTGTTGCTGCTTTGTTCTGAACCTGGGCTTCCTACAGGCCTAAGGATGTGTTAAGACAGGAGCCCTCGTACCCGGCCAGAATGATGTGTTGGCTCCCTCCTTTGCAGTGCTGAGAGGTAAAGACCCACTGAGGCAGTAGAATTGCTGCAAATCATCCAGGCCCATTCAGGAGCCTTAGGAGTTGTCACACCTTTTCCAGATCCTTTTGCCCACATAGAAATCATCTGTTTAGATGAGGTATTAATGGAAGAAGTAGGCAGGCAGCCAGCCAGATTCCCACCTCCTGTGTCAGCAGTGTAGTCCCTTCCTCCCAGAACTGAGAAAGGAAACCCAGGCAGAAAAAGCATTCAGCTCAAGACAAGATAGGATTTTTCTTTGGCCTCTTGCCTCAGAACCCCAGCTGTAAAAGGAGAAAGACACATACCTACAGAGTCTACAAGGTGGAGAATAATATGATTTTTTACTAGTCTGCCTTTTTTTTAAGGAAGCCAGTAGTTGGTGAAACCTCCACATGTGAAAGTTTCTGTAGCCTGCAGCCTTACAGCTTCAGTCTAAAGGAGGTCACCACGCAATGCAGGGACGCTGGCAGCATATGCTTTTTTCAGGAGACAGATCTGGGGTAGAGCAACATCTGAACACTTATGTGTCAAGTGTGTAAATGCTTTGGAAGCCTCAAAGGAAAAGTCCCTGACACAACTGGCAAGCCCGAAACCTGAGCTCTCGTTCTTCCTGCCTGCTTCACATTGCACTGACGTGGTGCACAGGGGAAGTTCAGAAAGAAGGAAAACAAAACCCACTGCTTTGGACTTTGGGCTGCATCATAAATGCATTCAAGTAATAACCAATGAAAGCAGGCAAAACTCACATAGATTCACCGCTTCCCAAGAGCCTTGCTTGGAGTTTTTCAAAGGTCGTGGGTAGGCAATTAGTTTTATATTGCAGCCATTGGTTAAGAACAATTAATTATATCACCCAAAATGTTTTTGAGTCTTAGAAGTTTGCGCAAGAATGATATTTGACTTTCCTGCAAAGCCATTCAACTGGAAAAATTTCCAAACGTGTAGCACATCACATTTAGTTACTTCTGCTAAGAAGGGCCTTCAGCCAACTGGCTTGCATGTATTTCCCAGAAAAGCAGAGAAAGAAAAACGCTTAGCCAATCAACAAGCAAATAGATAAGTCTCTGAAACAGAATATTGTATGCCAGTCCTGAATACACCATGCTAGTTTCCCGATTTTCATAATGCGAACACCATGAAAATTCACCCAAACCCTGTGATTTTAAGGACATGCTGCTTCTCCTGCTTAGCAGATCCTGGTGCTGCAGTAGAATCCAATTCCTTACTCATGAGCTACTCCACCCATTTCCATGAAGCTCTTCCTTGTTCCCCACCTCCCACCATGATTTCTGCTTTGTCTTTCCAATATACATGCAGTGTTTGCCTATGAATATCACCTATGAATATCACCTTCCTTGCCTTACTGAGCTGCCAGGAAAGTGTGGACCATTACAGAGTCTCAGTGGGCCTCTGTTCTTAGATCCTCTCAGTCCTTTGCTTCAAGTAGACTCTAAACATTTGTTAACCTCAGTTGATTTCCCAAACAACATCAGCTGTGAGGTTCCAACCAAAATCATGCCTACATGTGCACGCATGCAAACACACACACACACACACACGCATCTCTTTTATTTTCTCAAGTTTTAGCTGCCTTTCAGAGTGTGCATATATCTTAGTTATACTTCCTTTGCTTGTTAGCAGTGACTACAAGATCATAAGGAAGCGCTAAAACTCAAACATACAGTTAAAAAAAATCCTCTTTCATCATTTGCACTCTGATAGTTAACACAACCAATACATGGGTGACATTAGTTTAGAAACATACCTGCCTTTTGGACTCTTAAGCCTTCATATTTCGTTTCTGCCTGAAATCCTTTCTGGAACAAACTAGACTTTGAAGAAAGCAGAAGAGTTTTGAAACAAGGAAACTGATATGTCTTTATTGAAGCTGGTTTCCTTTCTCATTCATAAAATAGAAACCTACTCACTTCATAAGCAACAGGCTAGGAGCAAAGGCTACAAATGAAGAATTCTACAAGAATATTGCAGCTTTTCTCAACCCTCTTGGCCTGTCTGGCATCTGCCTATAATTGTCTTTCACCCTAGTTGTATTTTCAAACAAGCAACTACAAGCTGAAATCAAGGAAGACTATTTTCATAAATAATCTTAAGTGTTTTAAATATTTTGATTGTTCACAGCTTGTGTTTACATAGCAATAAAGAAGCCTTTTTATCAGGAAGAAACTAGCTAAAACATATGCTTGTTAGAGCATAATATTTGGACCAAAAAAATGGTTCTGCTCTTTTTTATTTATTTATTTATTTTTCCATATTGAGGGGAGTTTTCCAAATGAAGAATTTCAGACTAGTACCAGGCCAATTCTACCTGAGAATCCTTAGTTGATCATCTGTGAAGAGCCCCACCCTGCCTTCCTTTCAGCCTTCTCCACCCACGTGCCTGGTGTAACAGATACAGCTGTTCTTCAGTGTTATGGGAGGGGGCCGATTCCAGGGCTCCCCTGGACACCAGAACCCAGGGATGATGCTCAGTCCCCTGATGGTTACATAGAACCTCTGTGCATCCTGTGTCTGCTGCTATCAACTGTATCTCAAAAAAAGCAATTGGGAAGGGGACTTGTTCAAAGACACAGTATACATGACCCAACGTTAGGCAATAGAAGTAGGCTTGTCAAGACCTATAACGGATGCTATAACTAATTACCAAAGCATATAAAAAAATACTGATCCTGACTGGAATATTTTAATTATGTCAATATTTCTGTGAACATTGTAGTTGAAGGCACAGCCCTGAAATCAAATCATCAGGAAAATTTACAGACCATTGAGGGACTCGATCTTTTCTGTAGAACTGCATTGGATTTTAAAAAAAAAAAAAAAGCATTTTGGAGCCCTGCAAAAACAAATTGCAGAAAACTCTGTTATTTATGTGATATTTTTTTGATAATGAACTTATTTGTGTGCTTACATGTTATATCATTTCTACCAAACAAGAAAAAAAAGATCTTACTACATTAAGATTTGGACTCCAAAAATGGCTACAATGTATAAAGTTGAGTAGAAATGGTGTGTGGTTATACTGAGCTTCAGTCTGAAGGATTGTTTTAGCAGGAATTTTATATGCAAGACTAAGTGATCATCAACAGAGCATAATATTGTCTGTGAAGTATTCTAGTGAAAGCGAAATTAATTTTTTTCTTTTTCCCCTTCCCCCCTCTTGAATTCTGCCATAGCGACTGCATCTGCCTCCAGACTTGTCGGACACAGTGAGCCGCTCAAGCAAACAGGATCTGGCAGACTCCTCCAAGCTGCTGGGCCCAGGCTGTGGCACGATGGCCAGAGGCGAGAAGCACCTGGACTTCTAAGGGCTCCTCCTTAGCTGCTGCCTGTGGAAGCCTAGGATGCCCTAATTAGGATTGCTAACAGCTTATGTAAATATTTTTCTTAATGATGTGACTCCCCCCCCCCAGTCCTTGGGAAACACAGTTATGACTGCAAAATGGAAAATTCTCATTTTCTAACCAACTTTTTTATGCAGAAGTAGTACATCAGAGATTTTACTTTTTTTTTCTTTCTGCATTATTTACAGAAAATAGTATTTATTTTTTAATTAAAAGAATAAGCCGAAATGCAAGATGCCCTACTGAGGTCAGTACTGTATTTGTACTAGTTAGGATCGTGGCAAAAGGACAGGTGATAGCAGCTGGAAATAAAATACTGTAAAATTCAAGAACATATTTTGTCTTTATTTCTGAAAAAGTTACTTGCTGCCAAAAATGTTTATTTTTTCAGGAAAAATCGGTTTGCTAATATATATAATAAATTTGCACTTACATACCCTATTATTAAATTGAGAAAGACAAAATAACATTTGTGGATCTAGGTATCATTAAAAAATAATCAGTCTGCTATTGTAGCTAATAAATATCAAGATCTTGAGTGATCGAGAACATTGAAAAAGAAGTTGTTCCATTTAGTAGTCCTAAACAGCTGACGTCAGCATTATGAAATTATGTCATCAGATGTAATTCAGGATGGAAATGCAAACTGACCTATACATCAATGCTAGGATACCAGGGGCAAAACAGGGAGTGAAGCTTGGTGAGTTTTTAGAACATGGGTCTGAAAAAAATGCACCTAACCCCCCTTTACAGTGCACCACATGAACCTTTGGTGAATTCCAAAGATTTAAGGGGAATGTAAATTTCCAAACCTGCAAGTGTGCCTTTTGCAGTCTGCAACACATTAAAACAGTTTTCATGTGAGACGTTGGTGTTTTGAATTACAGTTTCACACTCCCAAGGCTTTTCCAAATAACAGATGAAAAGGAACAAGTAGAAAAGTAATTTGCTTATTTAAGTGAAGCCTCTTGATTTTGAAAAAAAAAAAAAGTGTTAAAGAACCAGTGGGACAAACTGGATTTCCAAAATGCGTTTTCAAATGCCTTCAACTGTTGTGAAGCAGTTGTAACTAGCGTGTTAAGCAGTTGGCTTTTAATATACTACAAATTATACTTGATTTGTTCTCGACAACATTATAGAAAACAAAGAGTTGGTTTTTAAAACTGTCTAACCAACATGATGAATGTCAGTCACTTAAAAAAAACCCACTGTAGCATAAACACACGCTGTATACAGCTTTTATTCAGAATTAGAATAATTGAATCAATGACAGTGATTTGCCAGGATGTCAAATCTCTCCATCATATCCTGTCACTACCAGTTTATTTTTTGTGATCAAAATCAAAAAGAAAACTAGTTTTTGTCACTCACTATTTCATTAGTACTAAAAATCGGGTCTCTTCTATTTTCTTAGTATGTCTGATTTTTTTTTCACTTCTTTTAATTCTAAAGACACAACTTCTTCCTCATTTTCTTTTCAAAATAAAGTTTCAGAATTGATCTGTCAGTTAAAATTAGAGGGCTTTTATATTAAGAAAAGGTGCTTTAAAAATTTAAAGCAACTTTAAAAAATCAATTTTGTCCATAGATAATAAATAATGTTGTACAGAGTCCACAAAAGCTTTGCTATGTCCTTTGAAATCAGGAACAATCTGAACCAATTCAAATGAATATTTTAGTCAGGTTATTATTTTAATAACTCTAACCTTTTTTTTTTACTGTGTTGAGATTCATTTTATACAAAAATACAACCGAACAATCACATAGCATTTGACTCTGAAAAGGAAATGTGAGGTCATCAGATATGTAAATTACTTGTCAAAATACTTACTAGGTCATTGATTTACTTCTCCCCTACCATGTCCATAAAATTAACAGCCAATTACTAGTTAATATATGCTCTGCAAACAGATAAAAGGCAGAAAAGTGTCCATATCTGAACTCCATTTAAGAAACTTTTCAAACTCAGTGAAAGTACATTTTGAATAGTAAGATACCTGAATTTTCCAAAATAAATCAGATCCAAGTGCTTTGGTTCACCTGGCAGGCTTTGTAAAAATCAGCCACTGGAGAGGGAATGTAGAGGCTTATTTCCCTCTGATAAAAAAAAACCCTAAATCTGTATTTGGAAACGTGACTTGTTACTCTTTACATTAATATTCACTACATAGGAAATACTGATCTTTAACAGTGCTACTGCATGTAGATACACACACCGTTTTGATACCTTGATTTTTTTTTTTAATTATCAACTTGCCAGGGAGGTCCTTAAGAACAGTGCCAAACACAGTGTCTAAAATGTGCTCCTATCCTGTAATGTTTCTGACGTATGAACTTCCAAATCCTTTGCGCTATTCATTTCTTACGCTAGAGTTGCCTTTCTTTAACAGGAGGTAAATATTTTGACTACTGCAGTCTGCTCAGGTGCTGGGGTTCTAAGACCTTATGGATTTCTGTTTGAGGACCACCAGACAGGATCCAGTTTTCTCCCCCTCTCTTCCATTTATTGCTGCCTCTGGGATCTTCAGCTACTAACAGTGGACGAAATAAAATGACTTCAAAAGGAAGCAACCCTCTCCGATCAATTCCCTATCTTTCAATTTGAACGAATCACACACATGCGCATGCCAGGGACTTGGGGGAGCCCTTGGTCATTGGCTTAAGCCCATTAATGCCATTTCTAAGACATCATGTTACTATTATCCAAAGACAGTTACCATCAACTGCATGGAAATTAACAATACTAGCCCTTAGTACTTACACTTGGAACTTTAAGAATGAGCAATTCAGATATTGATGATTGAGGCCAAAAAAAAAAAAAAAAATGTGACTCCTGTTCTTGAAAAATAGAAAAGAGAAGAACATGTTTTTGACCTTGGCAAGTTAAACATACTAAAAATAAAAGCCTAAAGAAAAAAATCTTAAGGCCTCGAGCAAAAAAAAAAAAATAAAATAAAGACACCAATCTACAATGACATTCAGTGAGAAAGCTGAAACCACAATAACACCATATTAATACAATAGTATCAACGAACTTCTGGAAAGCTGATTATGATTTTTAAAAAAAAAAGTAGAAATGGTCGTGAGCCATCTCAAGAAGTCAGCCGTTCACCACTTCTTCACCACAGAAGAATTAGAGAAGCTTAGTTTAGGGGTTAAAAATGTTCTTGGAAATTCAGTGCAGTAAATCAAGCTTTTTTTTTTTTTGTTAAGAGTATCTTGAGTATTACCTAGATGTTGAATCCTATTAACCTGGCTTCCCCTAATCCATCAAATTTGAGGGAAAATTTTGTTGTCAATACTGTGTCTGTACTAAGGCCGTCACAAATGGTCTTCTTCCTGGTGAAATGGTATCCAAACAACCCTGTAGATTTCCCAATGATAAATACAGAAGATACACTGACCAATAAGTAAACAAGCAAAAAGAAGTTCTTTCAACCACAAGGGAACACCGACACACAGCGCCAGCCGTGCCTGCCAAGCAGGATGCCCAGAGCTCAGCGTAGAAGAACAGCTCCTCTCCCCAGGGTGTGGGCAGAAGGCAAAGCAGCCGTGTCTGTCCTGCTGGACCACACGGTTTGTGGGACCAGCAGCCGCTTCCTCCCCCTAAACCAGGCTATGCCACTGTGCCAGGCAACCGTGAGCCTCAGGGAACACGTTGAAGTACTCAGGTGCATCCGCACAGCCCTTCCTCCTGCCCTTGTGCCATTCCCAGTGCTCGCACTCAGTGTGCCACACCCAGTTCTCCAAAAGTCCAGGCACCAGTGGCTGCCTGGCTCCAGCCCAAACCCAATCCAGTTGGATCGTGTCCCTTCTCTCGGAGTAGATGGCAGCCAGCAGCTGCAGTCCACACCCTCACACAGCAGTTTTCTAACAGATCTCCCAGTACACATCCCCAAGGCACTGTGGGCTGCAAAGTGTCAAGAGGCAGAAATGGCCGCATGGGCAACTGTCCCAGCGGTGCACAAGTGCACACACTGCACTGCAGAGAGGTGCCAGGTGCAGTGCGGGCTGCCCCTAAACCCAGCTATGTGCACAAGGACAGCAACACTGCAGTCAGCTTAGATGTTTCTCAGTGTACAGCATTGTTGGTAAGTAGCAGGTCAGACTGACGAATCTCCATTTTCTGTTCACAAATGCTTTTGCTAGAGAACAAGAGGTGTTGAACTAAAATGTTCTCTTTAACTCCTCCAACGAATTTCTGTGTTTCTGATCATCTGCTTTTAGGAATTTAAACAGTGGAAGTGTGCCCCTTTTACCAGAGGCTTCTGCGTTGTGATCCAGCCTGCCAGGAACCCCAGGTCTTTTTTTTTTTTTTTCACTGAAGTTTGCAGAAGAGAACTCTGTGATATTGACTTATATGTTGCACAGAGCAGACAGAAATAAAGGTCTCCGTCAGGCCTTTTTTACCCAACAAAGGCTTACTTTTTTTCCCATCCTTTGCTTGGGCTCCAGCACTCCTGCCCTGCGTGCCGCCACTTTAAACATGATCAGATCTGTGCTCCATTGCAAATAACAACTGACCAACAATGGACCCTGCTTCATAGATTTGGGAATGTTTGGCTTAAGCTGCCAATGACTGAAGGCCTTTAACTCCCAGCGGCCAGTCACACTCCGCTTTGTTGTTGTCTGTTGATGTGTCTGTGCTCATTATTCCTTGACATGCAACATCCCCCCCTCAACCCTCCACCCATCCACAAGATTCAAATGGGAACAGCTGTAGTGGTTCAATGGGAAATGATGCCTCTTGTGCAAAAGGGAGGGAGACAGAAAAGGGAGAGGGCCTATTTGAGAAAGGCAACAGCTTTCAGAGAGTTATTTAAGAAATCTACTTTTGAATATACTTCAGTGAAATCATTGTTGAAATAGGCTGACAATGGAAATCTGTCCAGATTGAAAATGCCAGCCCTAATTCAAAAAACAATTCCTAGTTAGTAGCTTTTTGCATTTTTAAATTATTTCTAGACTTGGGCTTTCAAATAAATGGCTAAGTAGGAAATGTCACCATTTTCTGTAAATGTTGTGTGAATGGGCACAGATCTAGAAAAAGCTTTAAGTGGGATTGTTTTTCTCTTTATGATGTCTGTACAAATCATTTTGTTAAGGATCATCAGGATATAAAGTGGAGTATGTGTGAAAATAGCCATTGGTTCAAGATATTAACCAAATGTGGAAACAAAATTTGTAACACCACACTATGAGGTTAAAAAGAAAATAGTATAATAAAGGAAATACAAAGGCTTTGGCATGGTTTTTACAATCAACAATGGTTAATTTTGATATGTAGTTGTGAACAACTTCAAAACACTTAAGTTTAAAACTCTTGCAAGCACTTTTAATTGATTAGGAATGAATTCTAGATGCACAAAATGATTGGACTGTGAACAGTAATACATCTATTTCTAAGAACAATTAACTTCTGCTGGCCAAAAAGAAATGTATGATTGCATGAAAATGTGTATAAAACATCTATAGAATATTCTTGTCAAATATAAATGAAATTAACTTTATTATAGAAATCATTCTGAGGATTTCTAGGGAAGACAAATACTTACATTTTAACATAAAACAGATTGGATTATATCGAAGACACACTCTACCTTTTAGCTATCAACTTTTTTCCTCCTTGAATTTATATTTTACCCTTCTTGCACATAAAGTTCATCTGTTAACAACCTTTGGAAAACCAACAGATATTTCTTACATAAATCTAGTGCATGTTGTTCCAGGTTTAATTAGACGCGAAGGAATGATACAAACTTGGAACGTAAGTCCGTAAACTATGAACAGATGGGTAGAAGTATTCGATATATCTTGATAAAACTTAAATTCATGGGAAAAAAAAAAAGCTTGTTGATCACGGTTTCCTTTTTTTTTTTTTTTTCTTTTAAACACCTTCATGACCAACACAGTTCAAACATCCATCCAGGCTACATTGTTCTTATTTTTCGTTATAACATACAAATGCCCATTTACAAATAATACACCAAAATGAATAAAAGTTTGGATACCAAAATGAAGATTTGTTCCAAATGATATCGTGCCTTCTGTATGCAAAGGTCCTTGTTTCAAGTTCATTCCAAAGTGATTCCACACGGGACACAGTTGCAGAACTGAAGTGCTTCTAACAGCCATTTTTCTTTCTTTCCTGAACTCTTAACTGTTGCGTCCACATGGTCACTGACTGTGCTTTCCTGATACTTCCTCTTCTTCTTCTTCTTCCTTTTCGTTTTACTGTAATCTTGGCCAATATTGAGACATATCAGGCTCACTTCCGGGAACTTGAACTGGAACTGACACACCAGGAGAAATGAGTCCTGGAAGAGGATGAAAAGAACAGCCATGTACAGATTCCGTTTAAGAGCATGAGTTCGTAGGTGAAAAATAAAAAAAGGAATCTGTAAGACATTCTAACGCTTTCTTCACTATATTAAGAAAAAAAAAAAAAGTGCAACAGCCCAAATCTTCAAACTTGACATCTGTTTCTAAAAGAATACTTCAAAATGTTAGTGGAAAACGTGTACTAATTAAAAATGCACACATTCATGGTGTCTTTGCACCAAAATAAACTCTCCTCTTTGTTCCCTTTTTCCACAAATTTTTTGAAGTACCTTCACACTGGCCTACTGAACTCTAAGTTCCTCCCCCAAAAGCAATGAGGAAAGCTCGCTGTTGCTAAATCATCAGGAAAGGCCCGGAGAAGGGCGAGAAATTTAGACGCACTATGCGGCTATGTTAAACTCTGCCCTCTACGAAGCTTGGTCTCAGGCCTTGTCTTTCTACACGACATAACCACACTCAGGACACACCACTTTTTCTGTCTACACACGTACAACTCACAGTTAGCATCACTGAATTCTCCTTTCCCGTCTTCCCTGGAGGCAAGGGCAGCAAAGAGGAAGACAATGCCTCACAGAGGTCAACAGGGTTTGTTTTTTTCCAAGGCCAGCTTTGGTTACAAGGACATGACCTGACAAAAGAAGCCGTAAGAACCACCTCTGTGCAGGCCGCAGAGAGCAGCAGCTCACCTGTTGAAGTGGTGCCCGAGGTGCCCATTGGCTGACTGTTCATGTGTGTCTGCATATGTGGGGGAGTGTAGGTATCATAACTCCGCCCATTCACTGACGGGCTAGTGGGCAGCATGCAGGAATACGAGGAGGTCTGGCTGGGGACTGGAGGCTGCAAGAAGAAAGGCTTGTAGTTATTGAGAAACATGTCATATAGCCACATTTGGGGGTCTTAAGAAAAGCATCGTGGAAGGTACTGGAACGTTCAGTAGGATAAATCTAAGATGTTGCCTCCAAGTAGCTCATCTCTCCATTGGCTCCCACTGGAAGAAAGCTGCCAAGACCTCAAACTTCTAAAGCTCTGGAAATGCAGGTAACTGGCCAGCTACAACATGGACAATAGATGTTTTGGTTTGTCTTCATCCTTCTGTTTGCTGGCATTTTGAGAGAACTGTAGCACAAGCTCTGCAGTCCACACATCATCTCTCCTTGCAAATCTGTATTGAGGGTAATACATGACTCCTCCCCCCTCTCGCCCCCAATCTCCTATCTTGAGCTTTGGGGCAGACAGCTACCTATAAAGTTTGATTTTGCACTCCTGGAAACATCTGGGCACATGGATTAAATATTCTTTGAAAATTCACAGTGATCTCAGGTTCAAGTGTCAGTAAACACGACCTTACCCTGTCTAGGGAATTAGCTGGGACTTCCTAACAGACCCAAAGGCTTAGAGTAAGTTTTGCTCCATTGAATTGTGTGCTACTACCCTCTACAGTGTTCAGAATGGTGGTGCTAAAGGGATAGACCTCCGTCGTCAGTGCATACACAAAGCAGGGACAAAACCCGGTTCAAGCTCTCATGGGTCTGTACAAGATAGCAAACTTGGGATGGCAAGTAGAAGCACGATCCTGAGAACAATGGCGCCAACAGCCTGGCTCTGCTTTGGAAACTGGAGAGATGCTTAACATCTCCACCTGCAGAATGTTCAGAGGCTGCAACTGCCCTTCCCCAAAGCGTTAAGGCTGCTGGTTAACAGGATCATCAGGGAAAGAGCAGAATACCACACCCACTCCAAACTCACAAACAAGTTTCCTCATTGCTCTTTTTTCTTTCTTCATGCTTTCTAAATGTGTGCACTTCTTAAATTGTACTAGTTAAGTAGGTTTTTTTTAAGTGTTGGAAATAAACTGACCCCACACACCAGTCCATGTGTGGAAACAATCCTAATACATAATGGCTACTTTTATCTAATTATGTGTAACTGCTATCTCATCTACATGTTTTGCCATCTTCACAGGAACCAGGATGTTGCTACAATATCTAAAACTGAACAAGACGTGCTGGCCTCATTAAAGTCTGAGGATGACTGCTAACATCAAGTTCAAAGAGGCAAACAGGCCTGGAGGGCACTGTAAGAATTTCAGCTTGCATTTGTTTCTAATGCCTGCAATCACTTCCTCTAGGCAACCTGACTTCTGGAAAATTCCAAGGCAGTTATAGCAACACCAACTAATGGACTGTTAATCCCTTAATTTACATCAATTGCACTATGGCCAATAATATCCAGATGCAATAAAAATAAACATGTGGATAATTCCTCTGAAGATGTTTATCTTCATAGTTGTCTCTGTTTAAGTCTAAACACTGGGAAGCATTCCTCTTACTGTTATTTGGATGTTCAGTGGAGAATTAACATCCTGTGTAACCCAAGTACTGTTTCCAGCAGGGGCTCACACTGGCCAATCTCACATGAGCCGACATCTCTAATTGTTGCGCAAAGCGGAGTCTTAGCACAGCCCACCGCAAGATGGATTTCTTCCCAAGCAGAATGTACCCAGCAGCAAAGGTCTAATATAGTGCATCTGCCTCATACAACTTACATTGCACACGGTACACTTAGTACAGCACTGAGCACTGTAGGAGCTGACAAATACTTGGGTCAGAATTAAGAGCAAGTTAGTATATTCAATGAAAAGTATCAGGCTTTCAAGGCAACTCGGAGTGCCATAGAGTCATCACATAGTTATAGCAAAGGCACATTCAGTTTTCAGCAAATACCTGCTATTCTCTTTTTAAATTAAAAATGTAGAAATTAGCCTTTGCATATTGTTAAGTACATCTTACTAGTAACTATCAAGGCAATTTTCAGTCCTTTTTTTTTTTAAGGATTCCTTAGTAATTTCTCACATGTACTCTATCTAATGCCCAAAATGCATATGTAAATTGTATTAATATAAAAACATTCATATAAACCCAAATTGTATAAACTCTCGCCTCTTGCTATCCCTTAACCTACTGGTATCATTTCTAACTTCCGGTAAGAGCTTCAGTGGTACCCTAAACACGCCCCACTACTACCCAACATTATCAAGCTAACAGTATGATAAAAGGCAGATTGACTGAACAAGTCAAATTTGTATTTGCTTTTAAAAACATCAATCAGTCAATCAATCAACTAGAAGAGATTAGATTAGCTGTTGCAGACTTGACAGGTCAAGCCAATCACTATAGTGAGAAAGGCTCCCAAGGGGACGGACACAGCTGGTGAGGTCTGCAGCCCCCAGCCCACTGCTCACTTTTCCTCCCAGGAACCCGTTAAGCAGCCAACTCCACCCTCACTTACTTGCATAGGCAGGTTATTTGCCATGGTGAAGCTGGGCATGGGCGGCAGAGCGCTGTACGTGTTTGTGAGGGCTGTGTCTGTTCGGCCCAACATGGAGCCAGATGTGAAAGAGGAAACTGCAAGGAGAAAGGACCAAAGTCATGGTGAAAGTTAGAGTCCACAGCACTTTCATTTAAACACACTGAGTAGCAGTATTCATGGGAAGTCCTTCAAATTACCGGGCGTGGTGGGTTGTGGGATTGGTTGGTAGACACTTGTGCTGAAACTACTGCTGATGGGGATATGACTAGGTGTGTTGCTGGCCTGTCTTCTTTGATTCCTCAGCTTTTCTTCTCTTCTCCATTTGGCCCTTCGATTGGAAAACCATACCTGAAAATCAAATGGAATGGGTTAGCCCGTGCCAATGGCAGTCCAACCTCGCCCAGCACAGTCATAGCTGCCTTCCATGCAACACCACCGGGACAGCAGGGTATTCAGCAGCCTGAATCTGCTCTTGTCTGTATGAACAGGTAGAGCTCCAAAGAAACCCCTTTGTTTCTATCCCATGCAATGCAATGAATCCAAAAGCCCAAAACCATGGGGCCCCGGAATACCTGTATTCTTGCTTCAGGTAGATCGATTTTGGCTGCTAGTCTTTCTCGAGCAAACACATCTGGATAATGGGTTCTCTCAAACTCTGGAAGAGTAAATTGATTTTCCAAACTGTAGGCACCAACCCTTGGATTAAACGGGTTCCACACTCCTCACTCCTATCACCTGCAACCAATCCCTTCCAAAGTGCTCTGACTTTGTGGTGATTGCCCTCCCTACTGAGTGTTCTCTACAATGCTACAATGACACTAGGTAGTGCTTCTGTAGCCAAGAGACCATCAAATTATCATTTTTCCTTTATAAATCAAACTTGTAGTCTTTGAATTAATGGTATATGAGAAGAAGAAAGAAAATAATGAGAAGTTGCCCAGAGAAGAAAGCAAAAACAAAACAAAACCTCCTCAGCCCTCTATGTAAAAATTAGCTCTTTGTCCTGAACCTGGGGCATTTGCTTTGATTTACTGTTTCTCTGTTTTGAAACATTCCATCACCTTTCTCCAGGGCCTCAATCTGCTCTTGAGTAAAGGATGTCCTATTTCTCTGCAGCTTCCGCTTCAACTGAAGTCGCATTTGAGCCTCATCTGAGTCTTCTCCATTGGAGCTGATGGAGTTGGTGTTCTCCCCCGCTCCTTCCTGTGGCTGGCAGCCATCTGCAAAAGACAGGCACAGTCAGAGATTTGGAGAAGGCCAGGTCAAGTTACAAACCCCAAAGGCAGTGTATGCTGGGAGGCTCACTGCACAGACCCAGGCTCACTGTCAGCCTTCTTGTAGCAGAAGGCAGTTGAGACGTTTGTTGTCTGCCCACCATTTTCTTTCTCTGCCCTTTCATCAAGATGGAATCAAGATGAGACTTTGCCACACACACACACCTTCAAATGACAACACAGCACCGACATTCCCATGGCAAATTTCCTTTCCTAAGTAATCTCTGACTCCCGAGGTGCCTCCCCAAGCTCTCTTTCCCTCCAGAACGTACTTACCTATGCTGTGTTGGGGAAATAGAAGAGTGATGCTCAAGATTTCAGCTGATCTATAATCAGTAATTCCTATCTAATCAATTAGATGTTGATAGGTTTGTAGAAAATGCTATTAAGAAACCAAACCAAGCTTGTAATCTTTTTAAAAAAATATTTATCTAGTTTTTATTTGAATTCTGCACAGTCAATTTCATTTTAAAGGTTGTGAATTTAGAAGTGCTCGCATTGTTCTGCAGTTTTATTCAACTATTGTATGAGTGCGCTTCGCCTTGACACCTATTACGAGCACAGCTGTAATTATATCATCACTAAGAACAGGCTATAATTGCTGAAAATGGAATTTTATATTTAGATAAAAGGACTGTCCATTCTTTGTAATGTGTTGCACCAGAGAAAAGTAAGATTTCTTTTAAATTTTTAACGTGTAATTTTAAAAAAGAAATAGAGTTCACTAACTAACTAAATGTGCCACACGGCAGCTGAATCCTTGGCATATCATTTAAGCAGTACATTTTTAATGAGGGCATTTCCACCACTTTTAATGTAATTTCTATCATTAAACAGGGGGAAAGTTAGATTGTTTTATCTTGCTGCTTGGAGGGCAAGATGTGGGCTAGCTGCCTGTCCCCCAGCAGGCACCTTGTGGGGAGGCCGCCCCTTCTCCCTAACCACAATTCTGGCCTCTGGTTCCATCGAGCCTCCAGGGTCACTGCGGGCTGGACCCTTGGGCTGCTGTCCTGAGGTCCCTGAAACTGGTCACCAGGGGCTGCCTTCCTCCCAGTTCTGGAACCACGGCCCAAAGCGGGGGAGGGGTTCGTGGGGAGTGCCTCGGTGGGAATCGACTTGGTCAGGAATATCATTTATAACCAGGAGACAATGGCAAGCGCCTTCAAAGAGTTCAGGGAATTGTGACAGGATCTAGTGGGATCTTTTCAAAAACTTTGAAATGTTTTAAAACCCCAACTTTCTTCCCCATTTAAACAGGCGGATTCATCGGCACTGGCCACCATATGGGCCCTTGGAGATCTATTGAGATGACCACCAACACTTGAATAGCGAGGGCCTGCTTTTCAGCGCCGCACAATGCCCCGCGAGTAAGGGAAACTATTAAACTCCTGGGGCAGGAGCGTTGGCAAACTTTCGTGGGCAGAATTTCGAGGCCACAATGAGCGCGGACAACAAAAGGATTCTCTTGAGGCGTGCAGCGGGCCACATTGTGTTACAAGAAGCCCAGTCAACAGACTTTTCAGTGAAGTGTGTTAACCCCTCTGCTCTGCTATCATTAATCACTGTCCGGAGACCGGGCGCCTCCGTGCTATTTAGGGCGCTTGGCTGGGGGGGGGGGGGGGGGTGGGGGGGGGGGGAAGGCCAGGACTGGGATGGGATGGAGGGGGTGGCAAGGCGGGTAGATGGGGACCTGGGACAGGGTAAGAGTGGGGGAAGGGTACTGGGTGGAGAGGGAGGATGGAACCCCGGGTAGCGGGTGGGGAAGGGCGGAGCTCGGAGTGGGAAGGAGGAGGGAGCGAAGTTAGGAGTCCAAGGGCTCCAAAGAAAGGGAAGCCAGAAAGGTGTAAGAGGAAAGGGAGGAGGAGAGCTGAGAGGGTCGCTGGAGAGGATCAAATGATGCAAAGCGCGAAAAGAGGGCGAGAGGTGCGCAAAAAGCTGATGGCCCCACTTTGGGTCGCCTTGGCAAGCGGGATGCCTGCTGGCTGGGGGCTGATGAACCACGAGAGCCACGCTCCACAAGCGTGTGCGACGCCAGTGCTTGCGCTAATTTACTGTCCAAAAGAGTCTTCCAGTGTCTGGCAGAAGAAGTGAGAGCCACCACCCGCCACCCGACCTCCTCCTCCTAGCCTTGGGTGCGATGAAGAAGGAAAACTAGAAATCACTCCTTGGGACCATCCAGATCAGTCCTTGGGAGTTTGGACTTTGGAAAACACTAACAAATCCGTGGGAGTAGGGGCGGGCACGGGATGGGAAGGGGGAGACGCTTCCTCAGGACCGTCACTCACGTCCCTGCCCCCCAGGAGAACACATTCCTGTCCCTTTTCTCTGGCACATTCGGTCTGTCAACGTCACAGAGCCGCCCCGGGTTTCCCTCTGGTAGCCCTCTAGGCTGTGCTGGGCTCTTCTGACGTCCTCCTCCTCATCTTACAGCTGGGAGATTCCTTTTCTCTCCCTCCCTCCCATGCCTGCATCCATGCATAACTCTCTCCTCTCTTTCTTTCCTTTCTTTCCTCTCTCGTAGCCCTGGGCCTGTGCGCTGGCTCCACAGCTGACATTCACTGGGAAGTCAACCCAACTTGCAGAGCTCGATTTTAAATCCTAAATAAATAAGTAACTGGAGCGGAAGGAAAGAGGCCATCAGGAGAAGCCTGCCACAGCCCCGCAAGGCGAGCACGCCGCACTGAAAGTTGCGCTGCGTTTTCTTTTTTTTCTTTTTTTTTTTTCTTTTTTTTTTGGTCTTGCTATTTAAAAGCAGCAACTTTCCGCAGCAACCAAGTGGTCACTCTGAAACTGGCGCTCCCTGCCCCCTTTTTTCCTTTCTTTCTTTTTCTGTAGTGGATGTGTCTTCCACTCCTCAAGCTTCCAACAAAATAAAACTACAAGTTGTATCTCGAATTCCTCACTCTCCCCCCCCCCCCCGCCCATGATAAACCTAACTGGAAGACAATTAAGATATCTTCTTTAAAAGGCGCCCCTTCGGAGCCGCGTAAGAAGGGGCCTTCAATAGGCGCCGTCCACCTTGCAGCCTAATCCGCGGGCAGGCGAGTGAAAGCGCCTCCCTTTATCCCAGCCCCCAGGACCATCTGACGCTGGGGACAGGATTTGTTTCCTGGAAGAAGGAGAAGAGAGAGGGGGACAGAGAGAGAGCAGGGATGGGGGAGGGGGGAAGACGCTGGGAAATAAAATCATTCCTCGGTTTCTTAGTGTCTTAATCAGTGAGGCGGAACACAAGCAAGAAAAGATAGCAACCGGGCGGCGGCACCTTTTCAGCTCCGGAGCGCGGATCAAAACATTGTAGCATCTGTTGAAAGAGAGACTGAGTAAATCCTATAGAGGGCCTGGGTATTAGGGGAGCGAGGTTGGGGGGGGGGTAGATAAGAAAAAGTGCCTCCGTGATCCCTAAAACCACCAAATCGCTGGAGAATTGGGGCTGGATAGAGTTGTCTCTTGTTGTCAGCCCGCCACGTCATTTTATCCACCGCCACACGGCGTCGATCAGATGGAAACCATATTTGTCTCTTTCTGAGACCTAACCTCGCCTTATGCTTTTTAGAGTAATGGATTCTTTAAGACCCAAGAATCGTTTCCCGGGGTGGGGGAGGGGAACGGGGCCGAGGGAGGGAGAAGGAACCTTGCAGAGCCAGAATGCCCAAGGATTCCCAGGAACCTGGCGGAAGCGCCCGGCCAGCGCCCGCAGCGCCCGCAGCGCCCACGCCAACACTCCCGAAAGCTCGGTTGGCGCCCACGCGGCAGCAAGGACGACGGCTTGCTCTCAGACCAGGATGCACACGAGTGGGGATTTGAGGAGCGTGGGGATGGAGAGCTTGGACGCTGACTAGCCCCGAATTCTCTAGAAAGTAGGCCCATAAAAAGTGAAAAGCTCCTGAACGAGCGCCACCTCTCGTCCCCGCCTTTTAAAAGGCCCTGACGGTGGGTCGGGTTCTCCTGTGCTTCCCCCTCAGTTCCCCAGGACGGAAAAACTGCACCAAGTGGACGCCACCTCTGCTGGACTCCGCAGCTCCAGGCTGATGTCCCGGCGCCAAGACGCCAGAGGAGGGGTGCCCATCCTCGTAGCTCCAAACTACCTTAGGTCCGGAGTTGGGGGAGGGGGTTGTGGTGGAAGGGAACCAGCGGAGAGGGTGGCGCAGGGGCCCCGGGCTCAGTCCGCCTAAGTACAGGCCATGAGGCCTTACACCTGCTCAAGACTTCTCAGACCCAATAACCCGCACTGTTGGCACGGAGGGGCCCGCAGGACCTGAGATTGTGGCTGTCGGTGGGTGGGGACCGGCGCAGGAGTGACTTGGGTGTGTTTGGGTGCCCAAGTGGGAATCTTAAGGATTTCAAAGTCTGGTGGTGGGCAAGTGGGGTTCCTACACGCCCTCAGCCTGATCACTGGTTGGTGTCACCAGAAGGGCAGCGGACCTGAGCCTGTGCACCCGCTATGCTCCCGGAGGCCGCGAGTTCGGGCCCGAGTGGGCAGGGGACCCAGGACCCCCGCACATCAGGACGCCTCCGCTGGCCACACGGTCGGTGGCGCTGGGAAACAAGAAGCAAGCGGTTTGCTCCCTATCTTCCCAGTGTCCGTCCTATATTGTTTTCTGCTCTTAAAACTGACATGTCTAATTGGCAATTGGTGCCGAATCGTGTCCAGAGGTCTCTTGTGGAACATTTCTACAGCTGTCTCCTTCAACTAGACGCTTATTCATGTCGCCTTAATGAGAAACAAAACGTTCTCTAATGAGCAATTACAGAGCGACAGGATTGTTCCCATAACAAATTCTTGCGAGTGACAGAAGCATCCTTTGTACCAGATATTTCGCATACTGTTACCGATTTTCCCTTCTCTAGCCCGGCTCCGTGGAGGCGCAAGGCACTCAGGCAGGTCTGAGTGCGCTCGGACCCGCAAGCAGCCGGGCTGCCATTCCAGCGTGGCCACCCCCAGCCTTGGAGCCCCCAGGCTCCGTTGTGAGACGCCAAGTCCATTATCCCGCATATTATCTCCTTGTCACGAGGACAACAAATACCGATTAATCTTCCGAGTAAACTGTTTCCTATTCTTGACCAAACTACTTCGGTGGAGGGATGGGTGGGCACAACATACACCCCACCTATTCGCTCTTCTTCCCCATCACTTCTCACCTTAACTGCTCCTGACACCCTGCAGGTGGGCTCAGGGTACCCTCACCCCAACACTTCTACACCCACAGACAGTGAGAAAAGGAATGGCAGACTGGTAGATGAAGGGAAAAGGATGATGGTTTCAGCTGGGAAACCACCTCTTTGGATGCCTCATCCTGCACGGGGCCCTGCTTCTCCCTCCTGTTCACCCACTCACATGCAACCTACTCACAGTCACATAATTTGTCAATTACAGCAAAAAGTAAAATGATACAACTGTGTTTACTGAGCAGTCTGTCAGTGTATTAACTTGTCACACTTCTGCAACAAGGGGGCTCTCCCTGCATTTTAATGTCAAATTTAACTAGGGCACCACACAGCTTGCACTCCTACTCACAAACACACCAGCCAAGCTGAAGCACAACCTTTATACTGCCCATCCAAGAAGATAGTTCTGAAAGCACCACATACATACAGTGTGGTCTGTATGTCCCAGGTCATCAGATGCAGCCCCCTGCTGTATCCCCCAAGACAAGCTCAGAGAAGGACAAGGCTGGGGTAAGGGAGGACTGGGAAGGGACTAGATACAGGGAGTTGGAAGGATGGCTGCTTCAGTTTTACCTTGTGTGGGTTGCCCTGGCACCGAAGTCCCGGGATACCAACCAGGGCGGGTGCCCCAGCTTCCGGTCTGCCCATTCAACATCCTTAGTTTATCATACATGCCATCTGCGCCCATCTGTTGCTTTTCGCTAGCCAGGTTGCGAAGAACTCTGTTTATGGATGACACCTGCAAATCAAAGCAAAACCAAACCAAATGGCGGCATCTCCTGAAGACACATCACCCCATCTTAAGTCTCCATCTCAGTTTGCCCACTGCTTTTAAGAAGGATCCTCACCCCATTAAAACAAGTCAAAAAGCTCACACCCAGTCTGGGAAAGTACGTGCGTTGGCAGAGACATAGTGAAGAGCGCAGCAGCCATCATGTTGGCCATGGAATTTGCTTGGGACAGAGGACTGGGAGCCTGGAGGGAAGGTCTTTTGTGACTTAATTCACAGGATACTTGGTTACAAGATCTCCCCGTGAAGAGAGACCAGTTTAAACCACCTGTCTTTCTCATTTTTTATACTTGTTTCATAATAAAGCAGAAATGGATGTGGGCTGTCAGAAGCAAGGATCAGGCAGGTGGATTTGCAGCAAGTTAGCATCTGGTTTTCATTTTCATTTTCCTCCCGGATTCCAATGCCTTTCCCCATTGCTTGCACCCTCTGGTTTGCAGCATGCCAACTAAGTGAACAGTTCTCCACACTCCCAATTCCCAGAAGGTCCATGAAAAGGTGAGGTGCCCCAGGTACAGTGGAGACATCAATGAGGTCAGGAGAGAGACAGAGATATTGGGAGAGAACAGAGTAGCACACAGCAGAGGGAGGAGCAGTAAAGAGGCAAGAATGCAAAGTTCAGGGCAGGGAGCGCTACAGCCCTCAGTGAACTTACACTTGGTATGTTATCGTTGGTACAGACCCCCTCGGACAGTAATCTGTCTCGGATTTCCCAAGCAAAGATGGACGGGCACTCCCGCTTATACTGGGCTATTTTGCTTACAACTTCTGGAGTCGCTACTCTCGGTTTACTACCACCGATTGCCCTGGGTCTGATGGAGCCAGTCTCGTAATACCTGCCCAGGATTTTACTCACACATCCGTTGGACACCTGCATCAGGGGAGTGGACAGAAAACCACATTATTAATAATTTCAAGACAAAAATAAAATTGTTTAAGTATGCATTAAACAATGACAAGCTTACGTTTTGATTGTCCAGCACTTGGACTTTTGCATCTGCATGGGTCTATAACACAAAAATATACCTTCAATGGTATGAGAACTTACTGTAGAGATTTTTTTCTTAAAATTACATTTGTAGCCCTAGAAACTACAAATATGATACTTTCAAACAGTTTGAGTTTTAAAAAGGAGTCTAAAAGTTTGCTTTAAAAAAAACTGTTTCTTTAAACATTGCTTAAAGATACATCAAAATGAACTCAGATGAGCTTTTTGTGTGTGCTGACATTGATTCAAATGACATTATGTTTCAAACAGCAAAGGCAAACTAAATTTTTACTTTCTTTTCCTTAAAAAATGTCCAGTTGAGTAAACATGAATTAGGGGTTATTCGCATTTGTCATATAAGAATCTATCTCTCCCTACATATTCTTCATAAAAATGAAGAAGACAAACATTAAGTATTTCAACATCCGAGGTTAGCATGGGGTAGGGAAGAGGAAAATTAAAAATATATATATTTCTATTTCAGCTCATTCCAATTTGAAAATGTTACCACGTGTTGTTATCAACCGGAATAAAATTTCTAATCACACCGAAGGTTTTTTTTTTTTTCCTTAAGCAGATGAGTTCTTTTATGTAACTGATCGATGTTGGAAGAGAAGGGAAGGAAGACGGAAGGAGAGGGGCAAGAGTGGAAACTGGGTTCTAGGGACTGGGGTGGGTGAGCATGAGGGGTCCATAATTAGCAGCGCTTGCAGCAAGAAATGAAGAGAGGGCGCTGAGAACGGAGGGCCGCGGGGGCGGCGAGTGGGGAGGCGGCGGGAGGATCACCTGCAGAATTCGGGAGATGTCGCACGGCCGGGCCCCGCTGTGTGCGAGCTCCACGATCTTCTGCCGGGTGGAATCCGGCAGCGGCCGCCCGTTGACAAAGACACCACCGAGCTGATTCACTCCGCTGTGACCTGAGGAAGGGGAGAGGAGAGAGGAGGCGAGCAGAGCAGAGAGGAGAAAGTCAGGGTGGAGGTGTAAGAGGTGGAGGAGGAGGAAGAGAAAGAGCAGAAGAAAGAAGAGAAACAACCACAATACATCCTCAGAGCCTTGCCAGTCCGTGCCAACCTCTGGCAAACAGGTTCTTACGATCAATCAGGAACCGACCCCAGGACCACCAGTCTTGCAGAGGGCATCGGGCAGCCCTGCCCCAAGCACGGTCATGCTCCCGCCCCCTCCCCGACTGCAAAAGCAGCATACTCCAGACACCTGCTGAGGGAAAAGAACGCCAGTCCCCCAATTAGTGCCATCACCTCGCAGCGCCCAGCCCAGTGGCCCTCTCCACAGCCTCTTCAGCCAGTCGCTCAACCCGCAAGGCGCTCGGAAAAGTCTTCCCCGAGACCCCTTCTGTCACCGAAAACCACAGAACCCACACTGAGCCTCCAAGGTCTGTGCAGCGTGCGAACGGGGACAGCAGATCCTACTACAGACGATCCGTGCTCCCCTGGACGCCGAAGCCAGACACGTTGGCGTTGCACCCTACACTCTGGCAAAGGCACGGCACAAACAGTGGGTTTGGTTCGGTTTTGTTTACTACAAGGGAAGGGAAAGGAGTCCGAACAATCAACAACTAGAAATACCAGGCCGGGGTGGGGAACCCCCGGCTGAGCTTCAGCGCCTCCACCTCGGGCCCGGAATCCAGAGCCGCTTCTCCACTCCTATCCGCAGAACAGTCCGGCCTCGTAAGTGGGGTGCCCATCCGCGGGTCGCACCCCGCCACAGCTCGACTGACTTCCGCAGCTGAACTCCGCCCTCCCCATAGCCAAGGACAGACAGCAGTAAAAATTGGGGGGGTGGGGGGGGAATTAAGCCAGGTAGAAAAGAAAAAGGCCAAACCGTGCCTGATCAGTGCATCTTTCCACCTGAACCCCAAGTCTAGCCTCACAGAAGGGGCCCAGAGAGTCGGCGCCCTCGATGCAGCAGCCTCTCCCGAAAGCACACAGACACACCAGCCACATCAACCCCCGGGTCTTCACTTCCTTAAAAAGCTCCAACCTGCAGCCCCGACTCTAGAGAGCAGCCTTGCCAGGAAAAGAAGTGGCTCCCTGCTCCTCTCCTCTCGCCTCTCTTCTCCTTGGAGTCTCCTGATAAATTGACTCCAGGAGCCGGAGCTTCTTAGCAATAAATAAGCTCCAAATATAGAAGAGGGGGGAAAATATGATGAGCCTCCCTGACATTTGTCTTTAAAATAAAACTAGCTGCACGTCAAGTTTGAGCTTAATTTCTGGAAATAGGCGGAAGTCGCTCCGGATCATGCATGGAAGGCTAATTGAAAAGATCAGTCGGGGCGCTTGTGGCAGCCTTGTCACTTTGTGACAGTGCTCCGCTCCGGGAAATTGCATCGTCACGACAAACGGGACCGTGATAAAACGACCCTTTCCGTCCCTATTTGTAGATCACTCAGACGAGATGGAACTGCACTCGTTTCCCCTTCGAGGGGAGCCGCGTTTGCAGGGTTGCCCAAGGCGGGGGGCTGAGGTGAGGGGGAGGGGGTGCTCACCGCGGCGGGGGGCGGGGGTGGCTGGAGCCTCAACTCGGATGAGAAGTGACAGGCGTTTGGGGGAATCTGGGCTCCGGGCCGGGCCGAGCGCGCGCGGGACGTGGCGGAGACAGAGCGTCTTCTACCCGGCGCTTCCGGTTTCTCCTACATTTTCCCTTTACTGCCTCGCCCGACCTCGCACCGCTCCTGCACCGCAGCGGCTCTCGGAACCACCACCTCTGGGCCAAGGGGGCCTTGCCAAGAAGAAAAAAAAAAAAAAGAAGAAGAAAAGAAAAGGAGGGAGGGAAGAAGGGAGAGAGGGAGAGAGAAGAGAGAGAGAGGAGAGAGAGGAGAGAGAGGAGAGACTTTCCAAAGTTCATAGCGCTTGCATGGCCAAAACAGGTGAAGCCGCCAAAAGCGAGACCTCACCCCTTCTCTGCTCGTTGGAGAAATGAAAAGTGCCAGCCACCTTTGCAGCCACGGCCCGCGGGTGCTCGCCCAGACCAGGGAAGCTCTGCCAGCATCGAAATGGCAGCGAGGAAGCGCAGCTCTCAATTCCCCTTCAGAGGTTAAGCCTCAATCATTGTGTCCCTTCCCTGGGGACGGCTAGCGCTCTCGCCCAGTGGCGATGATTAGGCGCCTAGAATTCAACCGCGAAGCATCTAATAGGAAAACATATGGTGTCAATTTGGATGCTCCGCGCTTCGCGCACACCCGGGAACGAGCTGCATAAAGCCCTGCGGGCCGGCCCGCGACCCCGCGCCCCTCGGGGCCCGCCAGCCAGGCCGCAGGCGCAGTCGTTCAGAGCTGCACGTCTCGGCAGCGGCGGGGTCCACCCGGGACCCCGCGGGCTGGGGCGTTTCAACTCCAGGGACAGAGCCCGGCGGCCGCCGGGCAAGGGTGGAGGCGGTCAAAGGCATTCGTCTCGCCCAGGCGAGAGGCTCCCCGGGCCAGGCCCTGGCGCCAAGCTCGCTCGCTCACTGCTTTGGTGCCGTATTTCAGTGCCTGGAGCTCACCAGCCCCGCGGCACCAGGGGGCGACCAGCACCTCCAGAACAAATGGGCTGGGTGCCGTAGGCCCTAACACATCGGCGTACACTAGGTTGCTGGAAGACCCAGGCCTTTCCTCACTTTGAGCCTTTAAACCGCGGACGGAGAGCGACCCTCTGCCCGGTCTGGCTTCACCGTGCCTCAAAGCTTCCTAAGCCCCAGCTCTAGTCTAACCCTACCACATACCAAAATCCAGAGACAGAGAGAGAGAGAGAGAGAGAGAGAGAGAGAGCCTTAGGACGAGGTTAGCTTGGAGCCTGTGAGACTCGGGCCTAGAAAAAAAAGTGCGAGATGCAAGAGCCATGGTCCAGGAACCGAACCAGGCATTACAGGGCCGAGTCAACCAGACCCAGGCAGTGACCAGCTGCCCGAGGGCAGAAATGGCCCAGTGTCTGGGCGCAGCCTTCGCCCCTTTTCCCAACCCTGCTCTTTCCTGCACCCCCCAACCCTTTAACGCTTCTCTAAGAGGAGCCCCCCACCAGGGCCAGGGTACTCCGCTCCCTTTCCTTGCAAGACCCCACAGTTGGGGTGGGGAGGGGAGGAGCTGCCCTGCGAGTGACTGGAGGAGGGAAGCCCCCTACCCCGCCCGGTTTGAGCAGACATTCAGCCTTAGCTAAGCCCAAAGGGGCCTCCTTCTTCCAGTGCTGCGAGGAGACGCCTTCGCCCCGCCCTGCTCAGCCCAGCCTCTCTCCTCGGGGTCAGAGCCCGGGCAGGGGCGGAGAGGGGGTGTGAGTTACAGGATTTGGGGGGGATGGGGTTTTCTCTACAGCAGCTTCGAAAAACTCGGGCCGGCTGTGCTGAACAAGGGCCCAGCCCCTGCTCCTCCAGAGCAAGAACTGCGGAGCAAACTGCTCAGCAAACCATTCACAGGCTGCCGGTTGCCGAAAGGGACCTCAGCCACTGCAGATCCACCGCAGATCCACCTTTTTCCTGGGGCGCTGCGAGCCGCCCCCCCAGGGCTGCCCCCCCACGACCCCCGTGGCTCTGCGCCTTCCCAGCCCCAAGTCCGAGATAACAAGAAGCACTTACTGTTCTGCATGCTGGCGCTGACTGGGGGTCGGGGGATCCCACGGGGCTTGAACTGGGGGCTCTGTTAGCAAGAAAATGAGAGTTATTCCCAGGCAGCTGCAAGAAGTAGGCCTAGATTCCCAACCGAGCAGGATAGGGCCAGGACAGGAGAAATCTCCTTTAGGAACTGACCCATGGCTGGCTCCGCCCGGTGAGATCAGAGCGTCTTTCATACCTGCACTCCAGAGCAGGTGAAATCTAACTTGAGGGCTTCAAATAAGACCATCTAACATCCTCAATCTGTTTCTCCTAAATCTTCCATTAGTTATCCCTTCAATCAGGGGAAATGATGACCCAATTTTGATGGTTTTTCTTCCATGGGAACTGTAATGAAGCAGCAGCCTGAGTTGGACCCTTTTGGGTTGGGAAGGCCAAAGCAGTTCCTGCAAAACTTGCCTGATATCAAGAATGTCTGTCCACTCTTGCAATAAAAGGCTTCACACATCTGCACGCCCTTAGTTAGCGTCTTCCCCCTATAACAAAACAGAGAGGCAAGGGTGTGTGACAGTAGCTCCAAAGCACAGAAGTAGGGCGTTTCCAACCCCATACTCAGGGAAGAACCAGCAGATAGGGCACTGGGAGATGCCAGCCTACACTAAGTCGCAGCCTCCCAAACATGACTCTGGTGGCCTCTCCCCTGGAGACCCCACCTTTTGCAAAAGGCTGCTTTGGCCTGGCTTGGCAGAAATGGATAATCTGACAGGTTGGGGTCCCACTTTTGAAAAAAAAAATCAAGAACCAGGGAAATAGGTCAGGGGTGGGACTTGGGGATGGAATCCAGTGGGTGTTGAACGTTAATACCTGAAGTTTGGTGGTGCCAGGAAAGGGACTTCCATGGACTCCATGGCGCCTGAGGCACAAGCTGCAGCTGTCTGGGAGGCCTGCAGGCTCTCACTCCCTCCTTCCTTACAGAATTTCATCACCCCAGCAGTCCCAACTTCTTTGCCACCACCACCACAGCCACCCCCCAACTCTCTCTCTCTCTCTCTCTCTCTCTCTCTCTCTCTCTCTCTCTCTCTCACTAGTCATTCACTCACTCACAGGTCAGACTTACCACCTCCCCGCCATCAGTCTCCCAGCCCCTCCAGGACTTTGCAAACTGGCAAGCCCAACTTTTTCCCCTAAACCTCACTTACTGCGATTAACTTCTCTTTTGGCATTTAGATCTTCCCCCTTTTTACTGTACTGTGACACACGCTGTCTACCTCGCCCCACTGCTTTAAAAAGTGTGAACAGGAGGGGGTGAGCGTGGCCAACGAAGCCTACAGACAGTGAACAATGGCTTCTATTCTCTGGCTCTGCCAAACCCAAAGAGCAAAACCGAGTCTCCCTAACCAGCAACACTGCTTCCAACCAAAAGCACCAACAACTCAACTCACAAAGGGAAGGGAGAGAAGCCTCCCACCTCGCAAGGCATACGCAATGCAGTCCCCCCAAGGCTCACCCTCCGCCACTCCCTCCCTACCTTTCCTTAACTGGGAGGTGGGGAGGAGGAGGATGGAGAAAATAGAAAAGTAATTTCTTGTTATAAATATCTGGAGATAATTGTGTTACTGGTGTGAGTTGTTAGGGGCTGTAAAAAGATACAAGGCACCGTGGGGAGCTCAATTGGGAAGAGGGAGTTACAATAAAGGGCCCATTCAAGAGGATTGCCCAAAAAGAGAGAGGGAGAGAGAGGGAGAGAGAGGGAGAGAGAGAGAAATAATCAAGTAGTCACAGCAACTTTTTTCCTGGTTTTTTTTTTTTTTTAGTCTATCATTCCTGTTTTTCTTGCGATAATTATTCATTGTTGCCTGCCTACCAGCAATGGATTTTAAGAAGCATATTTGTTTCTTCAAAGCCCTTCATGGTCTAATTTTTAAACAGCTGGGAGGCAGCTTAAATCCATAAAAATCATGCTAAGAGGAGGACCCCTTCTCTGCATCCCAATGTGGCTTGGCAAACAGTGGCTGTGCAGAGAGCTTCCTAGTCGCCCCTCACTAGCTGGGCTTTCCAATGCCTGCCCCACACCTCAGACCTCATAGTCAACCTCAACTCAGAAAGTTCCCTTGCAGTGTGGGATTGCTTCCGACATTGCAGAGGAGGAGCAGGTGTGGGTGAGAGGGAAGCATGATTCCCTAGGAGGGGTCAAACTTCCTGAACTCTTCTCTGCGATACACTATGCACCATCACAACAGAACATCCCCATCCTGGCTGCCATATTCTTGATGTTGTTTTAAAAAGTCCCTAGCTATTTCCAGAAAGGCTAAACTAATTAATTTTTTTTTTTTTTGCATCAAGAGGAAAGAGGGAGCATTTCAGGTTGCCAGTTCTGCTCTATTCCTACCCTCCCCCCCCCCAAATGCTATCTAATTACTTAAGTAATCATTAACACTTAGTGCAAAAGCAAGCATGGCACACCAATACTCAGAAGCGGTCAGTTGGTTATGTGTGCAAAGAAACCAGACCCCGCAGCTACAACTAGAACCCCCACACACACCCCCAGCCCAGCCTGCAGCTTTGTATAGCTTGCACTGGCCCGCAGACCTACATCCTTGATGAAGAAGGCTCCAAGACAGCCTAAAGCTACCATGGGCTTGGTCCACTAGGTCACTGCTGCCTCCTTGCCCCAACGCTAGCTCAACTTTCAAATGCTATCACTGTTTTAATTACTTCATTTTAAAAATCCACCCCCAAAGTCCTAGCTGGAGTGAAGGAGGAGTTCACTTTATATCCTCCATGCCCCAGCCATAGAATAATCAGTTATTAGGCTGACAAAGTTTTTATTCCCCACGTCCAAATGAGGCCACAACTCATCACACTGCCTTTGGATGCTTGCAAAAGCAGCCACTGGTGGTGATAAAAAAAAAAGTAGAAAAGGAAAGAAAAGGAGACAAGAGGAGAGAAAAGGAAAAGAAGAAAAGAAAAGAAAAAAGGAAAAGAGAGGAGGAGTAATGTTAATAGCAAGGACTTTTTTTTTTTTCAGTAAACTCTCCCAGTTTGCAAAGTCTTTGCTTTTATTTCTTATCTTGCTCCCAGTCTCTCTTCAAAGGTTCCCAAGTTCCAGTTACATGTGCAAAAGGTTTAGGGAGTCTCAGAGCGAATAAAGAAAAAAGAAAGTACCGACGTTCACTTTGTTTTTAAACTTTCTAGAAATCACTCCAGACTGAAGGGCCAGTCTTTAGCACTCGAAAAAGAAAGCATTTCCACTTGAAATTCAACTCCATTTCCCCCAATTACACTTGCTAAAATCCAGAGCTATTATGGCGCAGGGAGAGGGACAAAATCGGCACAAGGAAAGAGGCAACAACTTTATGAACTTTGAAAAGACACTTTTCCAGCTGGGGTCTTAAGAATCGAAAAGCTCTCGAATTACTCAGCCTAATTAGCTGGGAGAGGACGTGATCGGAGGAGAAACCCAAAGCTTTCATATCTTTTTTTTCTAAAATCACACAAAGGAAAAAAAATAATAATAAAACCTGAAACGCAAATCACCTCTCCACCTCGAAACTTGTTGAAATAGCAAAGCCTGGTGCAAGTCGACAA